GAGAAACGGGAGCAATGACAGTCGTGTACTGAAGAAGGGGGAGGAGGAGGAGGAGGAAGAAGAGGAGGAGGAGGAGAGGAGGAGGAGGAGGAGGAGGAGGGAGAAGAGGAAAGAGGGAGGAGGAAGAAGGGAGAGAGGGAATGGAGGAGAAGGAAGGAGGTAGGGAGGGAAGAGGGAAGGTAGTAGGAAGTAAGAGGAAAGAGGAGGAAGAAGAAGAAGGGAGAGAGAGGAGGGGAAGAGGAAGAAGGGGGAGGAGGAAGGGAAATTATTGCCACGTATCGTCTCTCAAGATGACGAAACCTTATGGGCGTCTTTGAAGTGCGATGAGCGACGTAGTAAGTGTTCCCTGCATATGCGTAACACCTTCAAGTGTTCCCTCGATAGTGCCTTTAAGTGTTCCCTGTATAGTGCCTTCTGGCGTTCCCTATAGTGCCTTCAAGTGTTCGTATAGTGCTTTTAAGTGTCCCGTAGTGCCTTTATGTCCCTGTATAGCCCTTTAAGTGTCCCAGAAGTCCTTTAAGTTCCTGTAAAGTGCCTTATGTTCCCCATAGTGCTTTTTGTTCCCCAAGTGCCCTTCAGTCCCTGCATAGTGCCTCAAGTGTTCCTGGAGTGCTTTAAGTTCACAGTGCCTTCATGTCGAAGTGCCGGCACCCCCAAGCGCCTATGTTCCCCTGCATAGTGCTTCATGTTCCCTGTATAGTCATGTTCCCTGTTTAGTGCCTTCAAGTGTTCCCCTGTATAGTGCCTTTTGTTCCCCCATAGTGCCATGTTCCCTGTAGGCTTTTAAGTGTTCCCTGTTTAGTGCCTTCAAGTGTTCCCTGTAAGGTGCTTTTTATGTTCCCTGTATAGTGCCTAATGTTCCCCCATAGCGCATTTGTGTTCCCTGTATAGTGCTTATGTTCCCTGTTTAGTGCTCAAGGTTCCCCAAGGTGCCTAATGTTCCCTGTATAGTGCTGTGCCCAGTGCCCAATGTTCCCCTGTATAGTGCCTTCAAGTGTTCCCTGTATAGCCTTTATGTTCCCTGTATAGTGCCTTTTATGTTCCCTGTATAGTGCCTTTATGTCTGTATAGTGCTTTCAAGTTCTGTTTAGTGCCTTCTGTTCCCTGTATAGTGCCTTTATGTTCCCTGTATATGCCTTAAGGTTCCCTGTATAGTGCTTTTGCCCCTGTTTAGTGCCTTCATGTTCCCCTGTGGCGGTGCAATGTTCCCTGTATAGTGCTATGTTCCCAGATAGCGCATTTATGTTCCCCATAGTGCCTTGTGTTCCTGTTTAGTGCCCCTGTAAGGTGCCTTTGTGTTCCCGTATAGTGCCTTGTGTTCCCCTGTATAGTGCCTTTAAGTGTTCCCCTAAGGAAAAGCCTCATGTTCCCCTGTATAGTGCTTTAAGTGTTCCCTGTTTAGTGCCTTCAAGTGTTCCCTGTAAGGTGCTTTTAAGTGTCCCTGTATAGTGCCTTTGTGTCCCTGCATAGCGCACTTCATGTCCCCAGAACAGTGTCATGTTCCCTAGCCCTCTGGTCCCTGTAAGGTGCCTTGCGTCCCTGATATATGCCCTTTAATCCCTGTATAGGCCCTTAAGGTTCCCTGCATAGTGCCTTCAACCCATATGCCCTCAAGTGTCTCTGTATAGCTCAAGTGTTCCCTGTATAGTGCCTTTAAGTGTCCCTGTATAGTGCCCTTCAAGTGTTCCCTGTATAGTGCCTTTATGTTCCCCAGAGCAGTGCCTTCACGTGTTCCCTGTATAGTGCCTCAGCTGTTCCCCTGTATAGTTCCTTGTGTTCCCTGTATACCTAGTACCTGCCACCTTGGAAGTGAGATCCTGATGAGGTAAAGTCCTCTCTCTCACACACACACACACACACACACCAACACACACACACACAAGATGATTAAAACACCCCAAACAGAAAAGCCTCAACGTCGCAATCGGATTACACAGACGAGGGGATAAGGTGAATGAACAGGTGTAAAAAGTGATCAGAAACATGACTGACGGTTCACGGGGGTGTAGTAGAGAACAGTGCCTCTGGTCGGGCGGTGGAGGGTTCAGAGGGCCGCGGGGTGACAGGTGAGAGAGATGTTGCTCTTACATGCGCGAGAACCAGGTGAAGGAGGCGTTAAACGAGCTGCTGGGAGAACAACAACTCAGTGACTGTCTCTCTCTCGTGTGTGTGTGTGTGAGAGAGAGAGAGATAAACACACACACACACACACACACATCTAAGAGTAGCAGCATCACACACACACAGACTACGACTCCGAGATGAAAACATTAGGACCCAGCGAGGGGTCCTGGAGGAACAAACACGGCCTGTCAGTCGGGTCTTTGTGGTCATCACCTTCTGCTGGTGAGGGGCAACAAAACCCACCATATTTTCAACACAACCCGAGTGTAATTCTGGTGGTGCTGCCATGGCCGTCAAGGACCATAAAGACCACGAGAGACCATTTTTCGGGAGTGTTTGGTAAGAATAGCCCATGAGGGAAGGGTTTTTTGTACACCTGACACCCTGTTAATTAGTCATTTGAATAATACATGATAGCTTGTCTGGTGTTTGTTTCCTTAATATTACCTGTCGTGTGATTTGTGATATTTCGCTTTAGGATAATTCTCTGGCGTACACCTGTGGCAGGTAGGAAGTGAAATGACTTGATGGTTTTAACTTATTTTGTCCGTTTAATTAAACCAGTGTGTGACCTGTCATATCAAACTCCAACATTTACCTTGAATTAATTAACATATACGATGTGTGGGTGTGTGTGTGTGTGTGTGTGTGTGTGTGTGTGTGTGTGTGTGTGTGTGTGTGTGTGTGTGTGTGTGGTGTGTGTGTGTGTGTGAGTGTGTGTGTGTGTGGTGTGTGTGTGTGTGTGTGTGTGTGTGTGTGTGTGTGTGTGTGTGTGTGTGTGTGTGTTGTATGTGTGTGTGTGTGTGTGTGTGTGTGTGTGTGGTGTGTGTTAAGGATAAAGACTGTGTTTACTGCGTACATAAGTTAAAGGAATAAGTGTGGATAATCCTCTGTCGCCTTGTCCGTCACAGTTACCAACTCTGACACAAATTTATATAATATTTCCTTCATCAAGCGTCGTTTATAACCTTCATTAACATTATAAACAATCCTAACAAGGTATAATTTATCCTTAAAACATATAAAAAGAATTAAGTTTATCCACTAACCACTAATAACAACAATATGTCTTCATAAAAAACTACAATTCTATCAAGTTTAAGATTTCTACAACGTCAACATATTCACCACAAGAGGCGGGGCCCAGGTAAGGTCATATCTGTATGGTGTGTGGCCCCCAAGACCCAACCTCGCCCTCTAGAGGTCATGGAGGCCAAGAGACATAAATTACCAACACATTACTCTGAAGAAAGGCTCTAGTCACTCTACCCCTGGAGGCCAGACTGTGTACTGGGAGAATCTCTCTCGGCAGCTGTGGATACCTGGCTACAGTCTCGTTCACCTTTGTATATACGACTCATTATGATAAGGAGCAGGAGTTGAGGTATATGTTAAGTTAAACACACACACACACACACACACACACACACACACACACACACACACACACACACACACACACACACACATTCTCACTGTTGTCTGTCTGTCTGTCTGTCTGTCTGTCACCCTCATCATGTAATTCACTATAATAAGAGAAAGAAAGAAAGAGATACAGAGAGAGAGAGAGATAATGAACACAGGTAAGTAGCTAAGGTAGTGTCGTGTGTCTTCACCTGGGAGTCAACAACAATGAAAAAGTAACCTACAATTTGTCTTCTATTTTACGCCTTTGTCTAGGTGTGATAACCAAGGCGGATTATTACACCCTCATTTACCTGTGACTCCACACCTGTTGGTAATTGTCTTAGGTGTGTTTTGTTTTTGTTTTTTTTACCTTTGACTAAATAAAATGAAACGAAGAACGAAATGTAGTGGAAAAAGTACAGATTAACGTAAAGGTTTTTGTCTTGAACTTACACCTGTGATGGAGAAACAGTAAGTATGTATGTATGTATGCATGTATGTATGTATGTATGTATGTATGTATGTATGTATGTATGTATGTATGTAAAAAGAACTAGACATACACTTAGGTCTGACGTCATACAGAACAGATATAAGTAAGTAAGTGGGTAATATAAGTATATACTCGTCACTCATATAAGTAAGGTCGGTAACTCCGGTAGTAACTCTGATATATGATAAGACTTATATAGATCTCACCTATATGATAAACAATACTAATATACCGGTACCACTCATATATAACACAGTACTTATACCTGTCTTATATACGAATATACCTGTCTATATACCTGACAACACTCCACCATCAACAAACCTCATTAACTCTAATTATCTCACCTGAGGAGTTTATTTACCTGTCCAAGATGAAATTTTTATTGGTATAGGTAATTATTTAAGCATATATACAACATACCCGGTACAGTACAGACTATAGGTATGGTACGAGTTATGAACCTGTCACCTGTGTCGATCTCAAGGTGATTTAGTAGTAGTTAGTTAAAGAAAGAGTTTGGGTAGGTTGTGTTGAGCAGTGTGAGGTGATGTGACCCCAGGCTTAAAAGATAATGAGTGTGTGTGTGTGTGTGTGTGTGTGTGTGTGTGTGTGTGTGTGTGTGTGTGTGTGTGTGTGTGTGTGTGTGTGTGAAGCAGATTTCGTTCTATTTTGCTATTCAATGTTGCTTCAAAATAACTTTTTAGGAGGACCTCACAAGATTAGGAACCCTAGTTAATTTCAAATGCTGATTAACCTAACCTAACCTACCCTAACCTATACAACCAAGCCATCTAAAACAACCTCAATCATAACTATTAACAACCACTAGGCATCAAAATAACCCGCGCATAACTATTAATAACTCCAATGTAATCAGAACATCTAAAATAACTCAACCATGACAATTAACATCTAACGGGTCAACTTTTCTTTTCCTGTCCACTATTTTTTTTTTCACGTTGGTGCTGAGGTCATGAGGAATCAGGTGCTGCCAGGTAATGTTTTAGTAGTGATGATGGTGGTGGTGGCACGGTCGACCAGCCAGGGTAATTGTCGGCCGTGGTAGCTCAGGCACGGAGGTGGGGTAGGAAGGAGGTGTAGGGAGAGGAGGAGGGGGTCGTGAGGTGGTAGTGGTGGTAGTAGTGGTAGATCCGTGATGGAGCTCATGCAAAGGAGGAGAGAGTGAGAGGGGGGGGTGGGGAGGTGAAGGAGGTGGGGAGAAATGGGTGAGGAAAGAGGGAGTAAGATGGGTGAAGGGGAAGGAAGGGGTGATGGAAAGGGATGTGGAGAGATGGATCACTTCTCTCTCTCTCTCTCTCTCTCTCTCTCTCTCTCTCTGTATCGGTAAATGAGTAATTCAGTTGTACACCTGAAATGATTTACACAGCCAGGTACACCTATATAACAACACCTATGTGACAGTAAGGACAACTAACTCATGTCAAGAAAGGCCACAGGTGAGGTAGCAAAGAAATGGCAGACAGGTGAGGCAGAGGAAATGAGGTGAGACAGAGGCAATCAGGTGAGACAGAAGGGCAGACAGGTGAGACAGAGGAAATGAGGTGAGACAGAGAGGCAGACAGGTGAGAAAGAGGAAATGAGGTGAGACAAAGAGGCAGACAGGTAAGAAAGAAGGGCAGACAGGTGGGAAAGAAAGGTAAACAGGTTATATAGAAGGTCAAACAGGTGAAACATAACGGCAGACAGGCGAGACGGAGGCAGACAGGCGAGACGGAGGCAGACAGGCGAGACAGGCAGACAAGTTATATAGAAGGACAGACAGGAGAAAGAAAGGCAGACAGGTGAGACAGAGAGCAGACAGGTGAAAGAAAGGCAAACAGGTTGAGCAGTGGCATACAGGTGAGACAGAGGCAGACGGGTGAGACAGAGAGGCAGACAAGCAGGAGAAAAGCCAGACAGCTGGAGTAAGAGAACACCAGCTGTCAGAGAGATGCTATTTCTAGTGGTGGACGATCTAAACCACACTGAATCTGGATGGGGGTGTGGGGGAGGAGGGGGGGAAGGGGTGGGAAGGAGGAGTAGGAGGAGGGGTGGGTGGGGAAAGAGGTCAAGGTTGGGTGGCAGAGGTGTGGGCTGGGGGCAGGTGGGGCTGGGGGGGGCAGGTGGGGTTGGGGGCAGGTGGGGTTGGGGGGCAGGTGGGGCTAGGGGGGGCAAGTGGGGTTGGGGCAGGTGGGGTTAGGGGGCAGATGGGGTTGGGGAGGGCAAGGTGGGGTTGGGGGCGCAGGTGGGGTTAGGGGGGCAGGTGGGGTTGGGAAGCAGGTAGGGGTGACAGAGGTGGAGAAAGGGGTCAGGTGGGGGAGGGGAAGGAGGACAGGTGGAGAAGGTGGGGTGGCAGGTGGGGTGTGGGGGGAGGCGGCAGGTGGTGAAGAAGGCGGCGTCACAGGTGTGGAGGAGGTATTTTAGGCCAGGTAGGTGATGCCCAGGGGCGCCCGTAGCCTGCTGAGGGAGGAGGAGACGTCCACCCACACTGAAGAAGGAAGGAGGGAAGAAAAAAGGAGGAGGGAGGGAGAGGTAAAAGGGAAGGAGGAGGTGAAGGGAGGAGAAGTAAGGGAGGAACAGGAGGAGGAGGAGGAGGAGGAGGAGGAGGGAGGAGGAGGAGGAGGAGGAGGAGGAGGAGATAGAAGTGAAAGAAGGAGGAGGAGGAGAAGGAGGAGGAGGAAAGGAGGAAGGAGGTGGAACTCGGCTAAATACTCAGGAACACTTGTTGTCTCTGTATAGATCCTATTAAAGTTCCACACAACAACAGAACTCCCATCACAGTTCCCCTCAACAACAGAACTCTCATACAGTTCAACAGAATTCAACCTCAACAGAACTCTCATCAAGTTCAACAGAACAGTTCCTCAACAACAGAACTCTCATCAACAGTTCCCACACAACAACAGAACTCATCAAAAGTTCCCCAACAACAGAACTCCATCAAGTTCCACTCCAACAAACTCTCATCAACAGTTCCACACAACAACAGAACTCAAAGTTCCCACTCAACAACAGAACTCCCATCAACAGTTCCCCACAACAACAGAACTCCATCAAAAGTTCCCACTCAACAACAGAACTCTCATCAACAGTTCCCCACACAACAACAGAACTCTCATCAACAGTTCCCACACAACAACAGAACTCCCATCAACAGTTCCCCACACAACAACAGAACTCTCCTCAATAGTTCCCAACAACAACAGAACTCCCATCAAAAGTTCCCACCAACAACAGAACTCTCATCAACAGTTCCCACACAACAACAGAACCCCATCAACAGTTCCCACAACAACAGAACTCCCATCAAAAGTTCCCACTCAACAACAGAACTCTCATCAACAGTTCCCACACAACAACAGAACCTCATCAACAGTTCCCACACAACAAACAGAACTCCCATCAACAGTTCCCACACAACAACAGAACTCTCATCAATAGTTCCCACACAACAACAGAACTCCCCATCAAAAGTTCCCACTCAACAGAACTCTCATCAACAGTTCCCACACAACAACAGAACTCTCATCAACAGTTCCCACACAACAACAGAACTCTCATCAAAAGTTCCCACTCAACAACAGAACTCCCATCAACAGTTCCCACACAACAACAGAACTCTCATCAATAGTTCCCACTCAACAACAGAACTCCCATCAAAAGTTCCACTCAACAACAGAACTCCCATCAAAGTCACCACCAACAGAACTCTCATCAAAGTTCCCCAACAGAACTCTCAATAGTTCCCAACAGAACTCCCATCAATAGTTCCCACACAACAGAACTCTCATCAATAGTTCCCACACACAACAGAACTCCTATCAAAGTTCACACAACAACAGAACTCCCATCAAAAGTTCACCACTTCTCAGAGACTCAATAAATGCTCTTAATCTACAAATATCATCAGTTCTTATTTAACCTTTTAAATTGTTACTTGGGGAGCCATTATAGGAGTGGTTTAAACAAGTAATATTAATTATCTTTAACTACAGGATATTGTGGTAAATGTTATAATAGAAAAATAACAACTTAAATGGATAATATAGCATTTGTGAATAATGTTTGTTTTATGTTGATTTATATAAGAAGTGAACTAACAAGCACCAAGACTTAAGCACCAGACCAACACCTCTAGTTGTAGCACCGAGATACAAGCAACACACACCACCACCACTAACATACAAGCAACACACACCACCACCACTAACATACAAGCAACACCACCACCACTAACATACAAGCAACACCACCACCACTAACATACAACACACACCACCACCACTAACCTACAAGCAACACCACCACCACCACTAACACATACAAACACCACCACCACCACTAACATACAAGCAACACCACCACCACTAACATACAAGCAACACACACCACCACCACTAACATACAAGCAACACCACCACCACTAACATACAAGCAACACCACCACCACTAACATACAAGCAACACACACCACCACCACTAACATACAAGCAACACACACCACCACTAACCTACAAGCAACAGACCAGCAGAACCAAGATACAAGCAACAACAAGAAGCACCTGTTCCCTGACCAACTTACGGCGACACCTCCTCCTCCTCCCCCTCCTCCTCCTTCTTCCCCTCCTCCTCCTCCTCTTCTGTATTTGTCATCTCAGAGCCACAAAATATTACACCCGGAAGGAAAACTGAAAAACAAGTTAGTCATTTGTGAGAGGACCAGTGTGTGTGTGTGTGTGTGTGTGTGTGTGTGTGTGTGTGTGTGTGTGTGTGTGTGTGTTTAGCCCCAATTATTATTTCCTCTTTGTTATTCATCTACAAAAATAATTAATTTACATTGTATAGTTTAATGCACTACTGAACAAAGACGGAAATTGTATATACAGTATAATTGTCAGTATACAATAATCTTGGTTTGTATTTATTGATGGTTTATTTACTAGTTTATTATATTAATTTTGTAATATAATTCATTTAGTAATAATAAAACTCTAACTACCTATAATGACATGTGACTTTATTATCATTTATTTCTCGACTTTATATTTACATTATCTCTCTCTCTCTCTCTCTCTGACGAGTATGAGACACCTACGTGATGCAAAGTGGACATAAACTTTCTAGGACCAAGGTTAATCACTTTATAATGTAGGTTTGGTGAGGAGGGGGGGGAAGGGTGGACGGGAGGAAGGGAGGAGAGGGGGAAGGGAGGGAGGGGAAGGGGGGAGGGGGGGAGAGGGAGTAGGGGAAGAAGAACAGGGAAGGAGGTAACAGGGAGGAACAGAGGGAAGGGGGTAGAGATTGTCATAAGGGGGTAGGGAAGGAAGTCGGGTGTAAGAAAGGGAAGGAAGGTGGAAGGGGAAGGATGACAAGGAGGTAGAGAGGTCAGGGTGTGTCAGGTGTGTGTGTGAGAGAGAGAGAGGAGGAAGGGGGTCGGGTAAGGGAGGAAGAGAGGGCGGGGCAGGGGGTGTGTGAGGGAGATAGTGAGGGAGATGCATCTAATGTACCCATGCAGGGCACCAAGCAGGAACACACACCTCTCTTCACCCTCAGAGCCCCAACACTGTCAGGGATGTGTCTAGATACTGACGGCCCACACACACCCACTGGTCACCTCGACGACGCCTTCCACTAAGTCTCTTCGTGTCGTACTGGAGGACAAGTTGGGTGGATAATGGGGAGTATAAACGAGGATACATGTGGATAAAGAGGATTAGGAGGACGGAGGATAGATGTGGATAATGTGGGTTGGGTGTGGATGAGGCATACGTGTGGATTATAGTACTGAGGAAGGGGATAAGAGTGGATATATAGAATTAGGAGAAGAGGAATAGGTGTGGATAACGTAGAAGGGGATGAAGACGGTGTGGATATATAATACTGGTGAAGGGGAGGTAATTTGTGGATATATGGGATCAGGAGAGGAAGGTTAGGTGTGGATTATATAGTACTGGGAGTATAAGTGTGGCTCGTGTAACAGGGGATGAGGATAAGTGTGGAACAGTGGATTATATAGTATCAGGGGAGGTGGGATAGGTGTGGATGTGTGGGAACGGAGGACGGGGGTATAGATGTGGATAATGTAAGAGGGGATGAGGATAGGTGAGGACATATAGTATTAGGGGAAGGGGGGGAGGTGTGGATGTGTGGAAGAGGAAGGTGAATAATGAGGTGTTTTCCCCGTGGGAGAGATGATGATGTGTGTGTGTGTGTGTGTGTGTGTGTGTGTGTGTGTGTGTGTGTGTGGTTAGGTTCTTTGTCTTTTGCTATTATGGTAAATTATATATATATATATATATATATATATATATATATATATATATATATATATATATATATATATATATATATCGTTCAACTTGTGCGATGACACACACACCAAGTTATTCACATATTTCATCCCCAAACATATTCAAATTTACATATAAACACACGAGAAATATTTTCACACAAAATATATATAATTTTTTACATCAACACACGCACACAATACAGAGCATAGATATTTGTACACACACACACACACACACACACACACACACACACACAGTCACACACACACACACACACGTCACACACACACACACACACACACACACACACACACACACACACACACACACACACACACACACACACACACACACACACACACACACACACCTCCCCATAATCATGTCATCCAAACAGACATATACCAACCCTCCTGCGCCCACCACCAATAGTTATTTATACACACTCAACATCAACTTTAAACACTCGGTTACAAATTTGTGTTAAGGAGACGAGGCCATGACAGAATGTGGTGGAGGGAGGGAGCGAAGGTTTATTCATTTGGGTCTTTAGTCGTCAAGAAACTTCACCTGACGAGGATTTGGATCACAACCGCCCGGACACCTTTGTTTGTTTACATTCCTGAGAGTGATGGGAAAATATTTGTTGTAAAGTGTGTGTGTGTGTGTGTGTGTGTGTGTGTGTGTGTGTGTGTGTGTGTGTGTGTGTGTGTGTGTGTGTGTGTGTGTGTGTGAAATATTTTAGTCAGTATATTCTGTACATATACGGTATCAGCCTATCCCATCGTCTGTCTGTCTGTCTGTCTGTCTGTCTACCCGTCTGTCTGTCTGTCTGTCTGTCTGTCTGTCTGTCTGTCTGTCTGTCTGTCTGTCTGCCGTCTGTCTGTCTGTCTGTCCTGTCTGCCCGTCTGTCTGTCTGTCTGTCCTGTCTACCCCGTCTGTCTGTCTGTCTGTCTGTCTACCCGTCTGTCTGTCTGTCTGTCTGTCTGTCTGTCTACCCGTCTGTCTGTCTGAGTGTCTGTCTGTCTGCCTCATGCAAGAGTCCAAGTTCATTTATTACAGGTATGCTTCTCGACACCTGTTTCTTGAATTTGTGGTTAAGAATGTGTGCTTGTCTGAGTGTCGAAGGTGTGAGTGAAGATGTTTGTGTGTCTGGAGGGTACAGGTGATATGTGTGTCTCAGGTGAGTAAACGGGTGCTCATTAACCTGTAAAGGGAAACACACACACTCACTCTCTCTCTCTCTCTCTCTCTCTCTCTCTCTCTCTCTCTCTCTCTCACACACCTGCTTGGCTCATGAGTGTGTCAGTAGGTATATTTGTTTATCACCTGTAGACGGGTGGTTGTGTATTAGAAGCAAGTGATTTCCCTGATGGTGTGCCGACAGGTTGTGTGCATCTAATGGTGGAGCAGTCGTGTGTGTGTGTGTGTGTGTGTGTGTGGGCGACAAGGTGCGTCCGTTTGCTGTTTCTGTGTGACTTGTGTGGGCGGCCGATTGTGTTTGCGTTGGTAAAGCTGCTGGGAGTCTGTTTCTTGTGTGTGTGTGTATGTATGTATGTCTGTCTGTATGTATGTATGTATGTATGTATGTGTGTGTGTGTGTGTGGGTGTGTGAGCTTCCATCTGCCACTCAGTCGCGGGAGTGGGTGCGGATGCCTGTCTATCTGCCAATCAACAGGGGGGTGATGGCGGCGTGTGCATGTGGTAAGGATTTGCGGTGCTGAGGAAATCTTGTGGTGATATCTCCTTGGTGTTGGTTTTAGCGGGTATATCTGTCGGGTCATCTAGGGGGTGTGTGAGTGTATGTACGTCAGGGCTTGGCCAAGGGAAGAAAGGGGTTATGATGAGGTCTTGGCAGCAGCCAAGGAGGTTGAGGGAGTTAGAGGACTTGGCCAAAGGGAGGAGGGACCGAGGGGGTTAGGGGGCTTGGCAAAGGAGGGATGAGGGGTTATAGTAGGGGCTTGGCCAAAGAGGGTTGAGAGGGGTTGTATGGTGGGGCTTGACCAGGAGGGTTGAGGGGTTATGGTAGGGGCTTGACCAAGGGAGGAGGTTGAGGGGTTATAGTGGGGGCTTGAGCCAAAAGGAGGGTTGAGGGTTATGGTAGGGGGCTTGACCAAAGGGAGGGTTGAGGGGGTTATGACGGGTCACGGGTACAGAATACTTGGGTTAAGAGTACAGCTTATAGCCAGGTGTGTGTGTGTGTGTGTGTGTCAGAAACTATAACTCTTTCATTACACAATTACAAAGAATAACATTAGCCTTCAGATATTCTTTCTGCCTACAGTCGTGAGGTTTGGCTATGGCGTATGAGATCCCTGCGTAAATGTGAAACGGAGGAGGTGTAGAGGCGTAGGTGTGGACAGGTGTGGATAGGTGTATTAAACTCTGGGTGTAAGTGAGCTCCTCCAGTTCCAACCACATACCCAAATTAACCTGTGGGTGTTGTGAGA